ATGTATATATATATATATATATATATATATAATATAGGTAGTAATCGAATTATTATTATTGACATTTTTTGTTGTTGTTTTTTGTATTAAATCATAGATTCTTTAACATCGTACAAGAGGATATGCTACTACACTAATTGGGCGCAGTACCGCCAAGGAAATGGCAAGTTTACTCCCGAGGATATTGACCCGTTTATTTGCACGCATATTGTCTACGCATATGCGTCTATGAACGACCAATACGAACTGATCCCCACGGAATGGAATGATGAGGATACTAAATGGTCCCAAGGAATGTATTCGAAAGTAACTTACACATTGACATTGTTTATCATGATCCATTGGTCACCGTCATTTTTATTATTATTATTATTATTATTATTATTATTATTATTATTATTATTATTATTATTATTATTATTATTATTATTATTCTACAATATTATTCTAGCAATATTCTACAATACCCATGCACTTTCAAAGCTAACATCAAAACATTACATTTTAAAGAACCCATCATAATTTCCAGTCATAAGCGCATTTGATTTTAACATTGTTTGATAAAAATTTTTAATTATTATTATTATTATTATTATTATTATATTAATATTATTATTATTATTATTATATTAATATTATTATTATTATTATTATCATTATTACTTTAATTATTATTATTATTATTATTATTATTATTATTATTATTATTATTATTATTTATAAATAGTTATTTATTTAAAAAAATCAATTTAATATAAAAATAAGAGATTCCGGCCACAGGTCAATAATAACAAGATAACCTATTGCCCAAAGTTAATTAAATTATGAAGCATTTAACTATTAAAACGTAAAGTTGTAGAGTTTCACTGTTTAGTAATAATTCAAGGATTCTTAACCAGCAAATTTAGCTTTAACGTTACAAATAATAACAAGATATTTCGTTTTTTTAAGGTGAATGCATTAAAAGAAGTAAACTCAGACCTAAAAGTCATCTTATCGGTTGGTGGCTGGTCGTTCAGCGTTCACAAATTTTCAGCAATGGCTTCTACGTCTGTTAATCGGGCACACTTTATTTCCACAACTGTATCATATCTACGGGAGAGAAATTTCGACGGAATTGACTTAGATTGGAAATTCTCGAATCCATCAGTTGATAAACAATTGTTTACAATACTTGTACAGGTAATATATAATAACTTCAACTCACCATTTTTTTTAATTGTTATACAAAATGTATTTGGGCATTGATCTCTCGATTACAGGTACTTTCTTTAATTTAAATATACATCAGTCAGAATAAGAATTAATCTGAAGGAATTTTTATAACTCTGGAAACAATAAGCACATAACCGATATTTATTAATTAGTGATTGCCCATGTCATGGATGTTACAACAGCCGAGAGGTTAGATCAAATTGATAGTTTTTGATAACAGAATTTATGAAGGGAATAAAAAGCGAAATGAATTTGTCCGGTTCATTGTCTATGTACAGATGAATCACAGCGGAGTATCCTACACAGGAATAACAAAAAAAGTCTTAGTTTTTAAAGCTTTTGTGTCTACTGCCCCAACGGGGCTTTAGACTCAGTCATCCTCTCACTTGTATGTTGAAAACAAGAGAGTAAATCCGGTTTAAGAGTTCAAACGAATTAGTGGTTTGAAAGATATACTACTAATACAAATACCCAACAGGTTTTGAGGTGAATTAGTGAATACTACATCCTTTGTTGTTGGATGATTGGGACTACATCCTCCCTCCGTTTCGCGTCTGAAGGTAGTCCAATTCATCCAACGCCGAGGGATGTAAAATTTGCTACTTTACTCAAATAATACCATTTTGTATTTGTTTTACTATATCACATAAATATTACGCGGCACACATTCCGTCTACATTTATTGTAGTAGCCATTTTAATCTGTAAGTGTAAAATTACACAGTTTAAATACGGTTCACGTAGCCAGTGGTAGTCAATTTTTGGGTTGCACCTTTTCCCTGCGTCCGCATAACTTTAGTCAATGAAATGTTGTTATTACACAATTAATATTTATGAGGTATTTGTAATCGTTTCTATAACCATGTATATTCGTTTGGATTGGTGGAATCATTTTTATTCAGTATTGCCCTTTGACGTATCAAATAATGAATTGTTTGAACATCTTATTTCTAGGCCTGGTTCACTTTTTAATTTTAGAACTGTATGGTTTTACTTTAATAATATGATAATATATTTTTATTCTATTAGGTTATTTGTTAATAAATGCATTTAATCTTTACATTATTACTATAAACTTTTAGGAATTAAGCCAAGCGTTTGATGCAGAATACGATGTAAGCAATGAAAAACTACTGCTTTCAGCAGCAGTATCAGCCACCGATCACATCTGGTACGAAATTGAAGAAATCGCACTGTGAGTTTAATTGTCTTAAAATGTTTATGCAAGTGCCTTTGATAAAATCATAAATCGACGTGGCCTATGTGTATAATATATGTAGTGGGATTTATACAGCGCACAATACCGATGTCTCAATACGCAGAGGGAACCGAATGAAAAAAAGGAACAACTAAACCAGGATTTATCCTGAACTAACATTGGAACAAAAAAAAAACAAAACACAACAGAAGCAGGGAAACCAGATTCATCGCACTCTTCTCCTGTAGTTTTAACGCTACTGACAAGCAGCAATTGGCAGGCTCCGAATTCACAGGTGTACAAATGAAACTGGCATCTGACTTACCTAGCCTAAAACTAAAAAAAAGGACGAGTTATTATATTTATGGTATGGTTATTATGCAATACATAACACGCCTTAACATAATTTAGCTGCTAATAGCAGCTAAATTATGTTAAACATAGTATGTTCTTTTTATTATTTAGCCACCTAGATTGGTTAGGATTGAAGTCCTATGATCTACATGGTCATTGGGAACTCCAAACCGGTCACCATAGCGCACTGTATGCACCATTAAATCAAGATCCAACTTCAACTGTGGTAAGTATTTCAAAATTAAGGCCCCTCATTTAATTGAATTCACTAAACGCTCACCAATGCTGTATTCACAGGTCATCTGTAATCAAAGACAATTGGTTTCATATTGATTGTTCAATTATTCAAATTCACCTTGCATGCCTTTGAAGGATAATGGTTTTCAATTCTGTGTTCTTTCCCTGTCTCTCATTTGATCTTCATCAGACCCATAGCCATATTCACTTCCAATGGGGGCTCTGGGCGTGAGGTCCAGTTTACCACAAAAGGCCTCTAGAGTGGTCTGAGCCGAAGCCCCCGAAGTTAGAGCTTTTAATTTGTGTTACTGGGGCTCTATAGTTAGATTACGAGAAAGTTTTCACACCATTCCAGAACGGACTATAGGAAAATATAATTTGCATGTGTATTCTGGTACATGGTGCGACATAAGTCGATCTCTCCTATATCTTAAGTGCTCTTGGAGAAGAGAAGGGCTCGCTATCACAGAGAGCTGCTTTGTTTTTCCGAAGCATGAAATCCCCTGACTGTACGGGCTTGTTTCTCATGAAATAATGCTAGTTCATTACTTTTGAAGTCTCACACAGCGACATTGTGGAAAAATGGAGGTATTCCAGCAGATAAATTAATAATCGGTATCGGTACGTATGGACGAACATTTACAATATCTACTTCAGCATCAGGTATCGGTGCACCAGTGTCCGGAGCTGGTAATGCTGGAACTTACACTGCATCAGCAGGCCTTATGTCGTACTATGAAGTAAGTAATCTTGAACTAGGTCATAAAACACATCTATCGAATAGTATTAATTTCATTTCATTTCATTAGGCACGAGCGCCAAGGATATGCCAATAAGTGAACCTAATCACTGTTTTACGTGGCATATCTATTTAACAACAGGGGACTTAATGGACCAGTACACCGGGGTAACCATCTACTCTTCTCGAATGAGATAATAAAGTGCACACGAGCCAAATGCGTACACTGGGCCTACGGTTTAAAGTCCTTATCCGAGAAGATTTAAAAGGCGCTATATAAATACATATTGTTATTATTGTTATTATTAATATAGGCTAATAATAATAATTATTATAATTATTATTATTTTTATCATTATTATATTATTATTATTAATAATAATATAATTATTATTATTATTATTATTATTATTATTATTATTATTATTTCAGATATGCGATATGCTAAAATCGGGTGGCTCTGTCATACACAATCAACACCTACAATCACCATACGCTTATAGTGGAAATCAATGGGTCGGGTATGATGATACAAATAGTATAGCTACAAAGGTTTGCAAACGTTATTTGTTCACATTATTAAAAACAGACACACATATATACACAAAATATAATAAACGTATTATTTGTTTATATTTAGACAAAATGGATAAAATACAATGGTTATGGTGGTGTTATGGTGTGGACGATTGATCTTGATGACTTCAGCAACACTCACTGTAATGAAGGGCCTTACCCATTACTAAGCGCTATCAAACTAGGCTTGGAAAGTGAAGACAGTGAATCTCAACTAAAAGATGAAGGTAGCAATTATCGGAAACTATATTAAAATCACATCATCTAGGCCTACTTTTGTTTTTAGTATATTTTATTTTTCTCAATAGAATCAATATTGTTTAGCTTTCCAATCTGTACATAAATGTTTATAAGTACGAACAACCAAGAGCGGCTGCTCTCCTCTCCTCACTTAAAAGGGATTTGTTACTCTTCACTGTATATTTTCTGGAACGACAGAAATATATTTAAGACATGTTTGACTACATATAAACAAAAATTAGCTGTACCCTTTCAGTACTTTTATGATGATATACCGTAATCACTGGTGACCAGTTTCCATTTATAAACCGTCCTTCTATTACTTATTAGAATTTTTCTTCGTGTCATTGATAATTGTTATGAGTTTATTCGAGGGAGACATTTATTCCAGAGAGGCGTTTATTTACTATATTTTTTGGATGTGAAATAGATACGTATATACTCAAATAAACGCCCCTTAATTTCACTGTATAAATGTGGAACTACAACCCATAATTACCTTTAAAAAGCGTTATTGAGTGATCATAAGGCCTTATTTGATCCCAAATGATCCTAGCCAGGTTTAAACATGTTATTCTACTGGAGTAGAACATTGATAGAAAGTTTTGAGAATGGTGTTATTTCAATTTAATGTTCCAGTCATTCGATGGTGAGGGTGACGTTTATTCGATGAAGAAATATGTAGACCTACGCCTATATTCGAAGGCGGCGTTTATTCCAAATGAGGCTTAGGTTGAGTTTGTTCGAGGGAGCGATTACTGAAAGCGAATAAATACGGTATCTGTATAAGGCCTACGAATATAATGTTAATCATGACCTATAAAGACAATTGTCAATATCCAGTCCTAGTGTAATCATAAAGCAATCTTGGAGTGACAATGAAGTGTTCTCAAATCCATTTTGTTTATAAGTTTTATTCGTATCACCAGCAGTATAGTTGCTGATTAAAATCACAATCATTATACAAATGGTTGTGATATTTGCACGGTATTTTTTATACAAACTATTATTATGTGTTACTGCAATGCTACTTGATAGGAAAATAATCGAATTATTACCGTACAAACCCAAGATAACATAATGCTATTTACATCACAACATGAATACGTTTGTTACTTTTGTCATTACACTTGAACAAAAAAAAATCAAAACAAAACACGTAATTGTAAAGAAATCATTATCTGTCAAATCAAGTATTTGGAACAAGTGCAAGATTCATATTTAAATTGTTAAAATAGTGTACAAAATATATCTATAATATATAGCACCAAAATTGTTTGAACACTAAAATACTGACTGTAAATGCATTTTTTGGAGAAAATATTCAATGGTTTAATGTAATATGATAAATAATAAATTGTTATATTATTGATATTAGGTTTAAAAAAAAAAAAAAGGAACAGTAGAGTTGTGATTCAACGTATCCCAATATCTTGTCATATGAGTATTGATCAGCAATAATACCTTAGAGTAGAACATTCTTTTTGTTACATAGTGGTATTATTTTAAAACAATGACACTTTCAGTAAAAAATCTAAAAGATCGCACTATGACTGTAATTCTCATTTTTTTTGTCTTAACATGTTTTAAAAAGTCTATGTATAAATACTGTAAGCGTATCCTTTATATATTTTACACACTACATATATACATACATACATACGTACATACACAGACATATATTTCCGACATCTGTGAAGATATATAAAGGATGATTTAAAAGTAATGAAAATAGAGATGCATAACAACCATGTTATCAATTAAACCAAGTGCTATGTAAAATGTGTTATTTACTCATTTATTTCTTACTGTAGAAACTGTATCATCGTACAAAAGAATATGTTATTACACTAACTGGGCACAGTTTCGTAAAGGAAATGGCAGGTTCACTCCCGAGGATATTGACCCGTTTATTTGTACGCATGTCGTCTACGCATTTGCTTCTATAAACGACCAATACGAACTGACTCCTAACGAATGGAATGATAAAGATACTGAATGGTCTCAAGGAATGTATTCTAGGGTAACATACTATTGACAACTGTTTATTAGTCAATCTTGACAAAGACTACATCAATTTCACAAGTATTTTATTCCATATTGCTACCAAAAAATGATCATAATGTTTAGAAGTTTCCTGTGTAGCTCCGAAAACACAAATATCTTTAGATGAATAAAAAATAGCAGCGCTCAAATATAAGAATTACGCCTAAGTAAGATGTTATGATCGTAGCAGTGATAGCTACTGATTATGGACCCATCCAATATAGTATCCCTCCAATTAAAGACCAAATTTCTGCGGCTCACATAATTTTTATAAGTTATTTTAATTAGAGTAAACTAGTTACAGACCAAAACTGCATAAAACCATGACAAATTCTACCCCAAAGTGATCTTTAACTGGAGGGAGACTGTACTAACATGTACAAACTTCAACATAGTAATAAACAATCATATTCATACATATCGATTCAAGGTAAACGCACTGAAGGAAGCGAACGCCGATTTAAAGGTTGTGTTATCGGTTGGTGGCTGGTCCTTTGGTGTTGAACAGTTTTCAGCGATGGTTTCTACATCCGTCAACCGGGCACATTTTATTTCCACATCCATAATATATCTACGAGAATGGCATTTCGACGGGCTTGACATAGACTGGGAATACCCAGCTGCAGACGGAAGTCCACCAGTTGATAAAGATCGCTTTACTTTACTGATACAGGTAAAGTAGTAGTAAAATAAAGCTTGAGGTTTCCATACAATCGCTACACGCTATCGACTACAGCTTTCGAGGACGCTGATTGGTCGGTCGAATCGGGGAGACTTCCCAATTGCGTAGGAGACTGCTTCGCAGTACAACGATTGCACTGAAAATACTGTAGCGACCGTGTAGCGATTTTAAGGAAACCTATCGCGTCATAGTTTAACTCATACAGTCCAGACAACAAATCGTGGTCGGGCGCTGTCTGAATTGTGTTTTATTTTACAGGATCTATGTATACACAAAACGGTATTTTTTATTGTGGTTTTTATATATAATTCTCAGGAGCTTCGTCAAGCATTTAATGCGGAATACGATGGGATACGAGACAGATTATTGCTTTCAGCAGCTGTATCAGCGAAAGAAGAAGTTGTTAGAAATGGGTACAAAATGAAAGAAATTTCAAAGTGAGTTTCCTGGTCTTTAACGTTCTCTACATATATATTTTTTGCTGACAATTAGCATTATCATTTCTTCTCGGTTTCAAGTTGTTAATAGTTTGATTCCACTTCAGAACCCACTCAGCTTCGATGTGGTGTTCCCCAAGGAAGTGTTCTTGATCCCCTTTATTTATTCTTTATATCTCCCCATTGCAGACGTCTTACATTTCCTCAATGTTAAAGTTTCATATCCTGATTATACTTCCTTTTACTCCCACTGCTGAATCAACTGTTACTTTTGAAAAGATTCAATGCAGCTTAACCGAAATCAACACATGATTGTCTGACAATATTCTTAAACTCAATCCTTCCAAAACCTAATTTATTGTTTTCTATTCCAAATTTCGCCCAAGACCACAATTTCCTTCACTTCATTTTGTTAATACTGTTGTCAACCCTCTTTCATTTGTCCCTAGTTTAGGTATTATTCTTGATGATTTTCTTACTATTTTGCCTTTTGTCTCCTCCGTTTGTAAGTCATCCATTTTGTATATTCGCAACCGTTAAGTACCTCTGTTCCAAATCAACTAAAAAACTTGTTTATGAATTCATTTCTTCTAAATTGGACTATTGTAACTCTTTGTTAACTGGTTTACCTGATTTCCTCATTTACCGATTACAGAAAGTTAAAAAATCTGCTGCCCGTATTTGTTTTTTAATTCCCCGTCAACAACACATTAATTCCCCGTCAACAACACATTAAACCCATTCTTTATGATTCACATTGGCTCCCTGTTGAAGAAAGAATTACATTATAACTACTTTTAATTGTCTTCAAGTCACTCTCATTCAATCAATCATCGTATTTTTTGGAGTTCCTTGCGCCCTATGTTCTCTTCCCGTGCACTCCATTCCACTTATAAAACACCTTCTGCAAGTCCCTTTACTTTAAAATAATTGAAAAGCATATGGTCAACGTTCATTTTCTGTTCAGGCCCCAATTTTCTGGAACTGCTTACCAAAAGTCTGTAAAATTTGGTCTACTTAAGAAGAATCCCAAAACTTTCTCATATTCTAAATGTTTTATTCTGGTTGATTTTTCACTTTCGCCTTTGAAAATGTTTGCATTGGAGCGGTAAAAATGTCTGATTATAATTATTATTAACTCATCCATAGATATGTCCATCCATTCATCCGTCCTCCCGCCCGTCCGTCCGTCCATCCATCCATCCATCCATTTTTAAAATAAATTATTCATTGTTGAGATAATGTATTGTCGAATGCAAATTTTCTTGTATTTTAATTATTAAGGCACCTAGATTGGTTGGGACTTATGTCGTACGATCTACACGGTAGTTGGGAATCTTTGGCCGGTCACCATAGCGCCCTTTATGCAACATCAAATCAAGATCAAACTTTAACTGTGGTAAGCTTTTCAAACGACTTCCAGTAGGTGATACATGACCGTTTGATGCCCCTAGTAACTTTATTCATAAACGATCAAAAACATATTTCAATGCAGTGAAGAAACTGAATTGTGAAAAAAAAATGTTTACAGTACAAAAAGCATGTCAAAAAATTAAGTAAGAGTTGCGGCAGAAAAGAGTACATAATAACAACAATAACAATATATTTGTCATACTCATTATTATTATTATTTTTATTATTATTACTGTATTTTATTATCATTATCCTCATGTACTACAATATTATTTTTTACTTTCGAAGTCATATGCAGCGTCATTTTGGACAAATGGTGGGGCTCCAAATAATAAATTAATGATTGGTATCGCTACATACGGACGAACCTTTACATTATCTACCTCAGAATCAGGAATTGGGGCACCGGTGATTGGCGCTGGTAAGGCAGCACCGTACACTGAATCAGCAGGCCTTATGTCTTACTATGAGGTAAATATTTTATTCAACATAGAGAAATAATAACTTGCAAATGGTAAAACTGAGTTTATGCCGTGAAAGCACACTATTCATTATATAATATGTATATGCTGAATTATATATAATAATTGTAGATTTGTGATATGCTTCATGTGGGTGGTTCTATCATACACGATGAAGACATACAGTCTCCATATGCTTATAGTGGAAATCAATGGGTCAGCTATGATGATAGAGAAAGTATAGCTATAAAGGTTTGTGAACGTTTTTGTAAATTTATCCCTGTACTTAAATGCAGGCATACAAGTGAAATTGCCTCAAGTTCTCTATTAGTTTTAGACAATATAATACATACTCCAAGTATCGAAATGCACGCCATCGTGTCAGATCATCAGATGATGACATAATTAATGTCGAAATATTGAATCCCGACACGATGGCGTGCATTTCGATACTTGGAGTAGGCCTATGTATTATATACTATCTTATCTGAGATTAGTCAGTGGACCTTTCGGTTTCTATTAGTTTTCTTTCTTATTATGGACAGCACCACAAACGATTAAGTTAATTTCGAGACGGAATAATGAATAGCGATTCTGAAAACAAAAAAAAATTAAAAAAATTAAAAAAAACCCCCAGAAATTGACTATGTAACGCCAATAAAATTTGGTAGGGTGCGTGCAGTTCACAGTATTCTCATCTCATCATTCCACAACGACAGGGGCTGAAAAGAACCATAACATTGGTGTATCCCCCTATTCTTCCGAATGATGCAATGGGTTCTTTAAAGTGCAAACGAGCCAGATGTGTAGACTGGACCTCCATTTTAAGTCTTTATTCGAGAAGTCTCGGTTCTACTAACTGAACCAAGGGCGAAGAGCGGCTTGAACTAGCGCCGATGTTAAGGCTGTAAATAGCACTAGCGGCGCACCTGCCTCACCGCTTGGCCACTCGACTCACCTTATGAGTCATAAGAGAGAGGTAGCCATATGGGAGATGTAGCATTAATCATGACAATTGGAATGACTATTTCCGATAGCACATTATTGTACTGTTATCATCGTTAATCAGAGTAAAATTCCAATATTATTTTTCTTGACGTTTCAGACACAATGGATAAAGGACAACGGTTATGGTGGTGTTATCGTGTGGGCAATTGATTTTGATGACTTCAGGAACACTCACTGCAATGAAGGACCATACCCCCTGCTAAATGCTATCAAACTAGGCTTGGAAAGCGACAAAGCTATCTTCAACCATACCAAGGAACCGACCTTGTCAGAAATAACAGAGAAAGAAGTGATTAAACAGTCAGAGCCAACAGTTTCTAATGAAATAGGTAAATTATATTATTTTATATCATTAAATTACGTGTTAATAATATATGACATAAAGATGCAAAGCAAAACAAAACAAAACAAAACAAAACAAAAAAACATAATTAGTTACCTTTTTAATCAGTTTAAAATCTTTATTTATTTGTGAAAATGATTCAGTGACCAGTCCCATCGGCGGATCAGCTGCTACTACATATGACATACTTGAGACAGAGTATTCCCAACATCTGTTGACAGAAGAACAAGCTGGACAAGACACACTGACGGACCCACCCATGAACTTAAAAAACGAACAAACAACTCAACCTCTAGATTCGACAGTACCAGGTAGGCCTAAGTCTAGTTATACGAAAATACTGTAAATATTAACCATATAAAATTACTGGGCCTACAGACAATATCTTAAAGACAAACATGTAAAAGTATTAGCCACCAGATTAATATCTAAACATAATTATACAGCCACTGATGTGACCAACCCCACTGTTAGATTAACTGCTAGAGTATCGGACAGGCTTCAGACAGAGTTGGCACAGCGTCTGCTAACAGGCGAACGAATTGGACAACACGCACTGACGGACCCACTAATGAAGACAGAAGAAGAACAGACAACCCAGCCTCTGACTTCAACCATGGGTAAGTCTACGACTTACATAAAATAAATAAAATGACTACTGAAAAAGGGACATCTTAAAGACAACATGTAAAAGGATTGGCCAACAGATTAATAAATTAGAATAATTATACAGGCACTGATGACACAATGGCCAACCCCACTGTTAGATCAACTGTTATAGTATCTGACATGCTTCAGACAAAGAGAACAGAACGTCTACTGACAGAGAAACAGACTGGACAAGATGCACTGACGGCAGGGGTGGCGTCAGCGGGGAGGGGGAATGTTGCCAGGGTTCCCCGTCGGAGAGAAAAACCACAATTCGTTGGGGAGAATAAAAAATTATATGTATTTTTTACATATTGGTAGACTCTAAAATCGATTAAATAAGCTTTAAAACTCCTAGATTGTCAACCCCCCCCCAAATTCGGGGGCTCCCCCCCCCCATGATCACTTTATAACCATTTTAAGCGACGCTCGACCACGTCCACTTTCTCTCATCGGGAAAATCTTTCCCCTCGTCGGGGGGATCGCCCTCCCCCCCCCCCCCCCCCCCCCCCGCCC